ATAGTACCAATGTGAACGATAGGATGCCAAAGGCAAGTTAATTTCGAACCCATCTAAAACAATGCACGATAATTAATAAAATTCAGATAATATGACTATAAAAATGAATGACCCTTTGCTATGGTGAGTGCGGGTGACCACTCATCTGCTAGAATGTCCAAACATATGCTCCCATTGCTGTTGATATTCGGGTGATAAATCCGTGTTGTGAATGCTATCTAAATGGCAATTTATCGGTTGCGATAGAGACGATTCAATCCGATGTGGGCATTTCAATTTTGACAGCACCTTTGTGTAGAACTTTCCATAGATAGTCAATGAGATGGGATAGAATGAAGACTTAGATGGGGACATCAAACAAGAAGATGAACAAACCTTTGGCGGCTTGAACGGGTAATCCTGGGGAAATTGTATGTTGAGATGGAAAATGCCGCCTCTGTATGGCGAATCTGTTGGACCCATTATAGTAGCGCTCCAATGAAATGGATATGTGTCATTCACTGGTCCAGCGCTGCACCCTTCTGGTGGATTACGTTGCAGATCTTGTAATTCCTGAATGCTTTTTATCACTTTCTCAAAATGGAAAAAACCAACCTCGTTAACCTTCTGAGGTATTTCAAAACGGACAGAATTGATAAAAAAATTCTCGTTCCACTTTTTCTCTTTACAAGAAAGGTANAATAAATATACTGCTAAACAAATAGAAAATAATACCTTATAAATGCGTCTAGCAGCCATTGTTCTTTAAGAGTCAAATTTATCGGAACATATAGCAGCAGCAAGAACAACAAATATAATGGAGTATACGATGATTCTGAACTGTATATGGACCGGTGGCTATTATGGTACCTCAGCAAACCGGTATCAGATGGAAGGTATCGAGCGGTGGAAGCGTTATTGAAATAATCCAGCAATCAAACGAAATTCGTGATGTTTCATTTTTCTTATATACTGACTACGCTAAAGGAATCAGCTGTAGTAACATCAACACCAAAACTAATGATAACATAATTAATGCGGACAATATCAGTAACAATAACAATACGAATCGTTTGAACAGCAATAACAGTGTTTGTTAAAAGCTTAGCAAATAAAAAAATTGTGTGTATTTTTCTTCTTGTTTTGCTCATTCAATGAGCTGATTGTGATTACGGAACATATCAGAAATGTATGCTTTTAATCACTGTCTTCAATGAATGCAGATATAATAGTATTTGAGATCGTGTCTGCGGATTAGCGTCGGTGGTTGCTATCATCATAAATTTGCAAGCGATCTAACGGGTCCTTGAACAAATATTATTCGATGCCAAATGCTACTTCTGTTTGCTTAAGAATTAGATCAGCAATAAGGAAATTTTGACGACTCACTGTTAGTTTATTTTGAAGCAAAAAAAAATAACAATGGTGATAACATCAGTATTCATAACATTGATAATGTTGCCGTTTACTGTTTATGGTCCATTATATAATTGAACCGTATCATTTGGCTGAAGAATGATTTTTGCCATACTAACAGTGATGATGATCTGTTAGTATGTCAAATGATGATCTGCATTTGGAAAGGAATTGGAAGAGAGATGGATGAACTCAAAATCATTTCACCACATTATTCCTGGTTAAAAGGAGATATCCATTTCGAAACTCACGATCAGAC